GGGGGGGGGGGGGACATCAGATCCAAGAGCTGGTTCTTGGAAGTATGGTTAATAGAATTATTTGTTATGAAAGGCAAGTGCAACACAATAAAACAGTGCAGGTCATTTTTTAATGTGGCTGTGTCTCTACCTCTCCAAAGTTTAATTTTAGTACCTATGGGTACTTTATCTTACAGAAGGAAGCAGCTTCCTAAGGACTTCTTCTTTGAAAGTTACATATGCTTAAGATATTTTTCAAGATTGATTAAGTTCAAAACAAAACAAAACACAGCTAGTTCCTAACAAGAATAGAGGAGGTAAGAAAAATGTTGGGATGTCACTGTGAAAATATAATGTATGCTAATTACAGTTCTCTTAAGGAAAGGAAATATTCTGCTATATCATTTTCTAGAGTCAAATCCCTGGGATAAAAATGAACAATGATGAATCTAGGAAACCAAACAGAAGATACGATGTGAACTCCAGAAGCAAATTGCAGCAGAGTCAGGCTAAGAGCTAATCAAGAGTTCAGCAGGAGTGTTTTTGAGGATGCTTTCTCCTGCGTTAAGGGCTTTTATTTACACAAAATTCTTAAGCTTGAATCAGAATCATTTGTAAGGCTTATTAAATGTCGAGAGCAGTGGGCCCCACTGTTAGAGATTTGGATGGGGTAGGTCTGGGGTGCATCCATGAATTTGCACTTCTCATAAGTTCCAAAGTGATGTGATGGACTTTCCTGGTACAGGGAGGGCACTTTGGGAACTACTGCCCTTGAGTCTCTCCAATGACTCCAAACATGCAGCAAAATGATTTTTTAAAAAGACACAAAACAAAAAACTCTGTTTTCATTCACTTTGTTAAAATCAGTAGTTTTCAACCAGGGGACTAAATTAAAAGCTTAGAAGCTTTTAAAATAGAGATCTGCCCAGACCCCATCCTTGGAGATTCTGGTTCATTAGGTTTAAGCTTGGGGGGCGGGGGGGTGTCAGAGCATATGATTTTAAAACACTTCTCCCCAAGTGATTCTGATGGGTATCCAAACTGAGATTCACTGGTTTAAAAAACAAATGTGCATCATACAACAGAAAGGAATTAGATAGCCTTGAATTATGATGTAAAGAAAAGTGACTTTAAGGATTAACTAGTCTTAAAATCTCCTGGTGGTGTTCTATGAAGCTCTAGGTGTTTGGAAGAGATGCTTTGAGGGACACCGAAAGTAGCAGGAGAGAAAGAGCAGGAGACACCCCTTCCCAGACTCCAGCCACAACAGATTTGCCTTTATTTATGTACAATGGGTTTCCAACTAAGATTTCTTTAGAAGAAATTGTGTTCTAAGGCCATAGAATGTTTCAAGCCATGGATGTTAGCCCAACTTTCTCATGTTCCAAATACAGAACTAAGCAGGGCGGCCAAGTGAAAACACAGTGAAGCAGATCATGTGTCCGGTACTAAAAAACTGTACACCTGCCCCCAGGATCACACACTCCACTCAAGAAACATTGAGGTTTTGTCAGACAACACTAACTCCCACGCACTCCACCTCCCTCCTTCTTACAGCACAGATGAAGTTCTTCATCAGAACCATCGCCACAGTCGTTGTCACCATCACATATCCAATATGACTGGATACAGACATGATTTTTACATTCAAACATAACAGCTGGGCAGTATGTACCATTGGGAAAGCGAGTGGCTGTTGGGGGGGAAAAAGACACATACTCAAATTATTAGAAGAATTTACTATTTTGGAAAGCTAACCTGCTATTTCTCCTTTAGCTCTTTCCACTATAGCCTGCTTTTCCTTGCTCATTTGGCTCTACTGTGACCTTCAATTGTCTGAAATTCTGATGGAATATTTCTTAAGGACTGTTGTCCAAGCCCAATTTCCAATGGCATGAGTCACTCTGTGGCTAGCACTGGACTTTTTCTTTAAAGGCCAGTGCAGCTCCTAACCTGTTGTCAGCCCCAACTTTACCCATGATGCATTCATATAGTCAGTTTCATTGAAAGAAGGTTTTAAGACATGACAACCTCATCATCAACAATATCTACCATGGATATTCATCAACAGTTATTATTTATTCAGTGATTTATAAAGAGTAAAATACGAATGATCAATCATATTGACATTACATTTTTAAATAGCTTTTCATATGCCATTAGGCAATTCAGAAAAATTTTAATGCTGTAAACTCAGTATGTTTTAATTCCCAGTCCAAGTTCTCTAACACCCATTTATTCGTTGCTCAAATATTTTTTTACCTGCAATGTTTTTGTCCAATTAATGATTTGTATAGTAGTTAATAATATATAAATACTTTTGATAGCACAGATACTTAATATATTCTGTATTTAAAATATTATTAATGAAATGCTTTTGAATGAATACTGTGAATATATATGGATATGGTGACTCAGATCCCAGGTGAGCTGATAATTATCAATGAATGCTGAATAGAATATACCTATGGCCTTTTAATCTAAGAGGTGGTGGCTGATGGAGAGGTGGGGTCTAAGTGCTATATCCACACAATTCAGACAAGCAGTGCCACAGGTGTCTAAAACTTACGACAAACGGCTTCATCAGAGGCATCCAAACAGTCGATCATTCCATCACATTTCAAGTCATCAGGCACACAGTGTCCACTCTTACACTGAAAATATCCAGGATGGCAGGTCCGCATCTCTGAAGAGAAAATACTATTATTCCCAGAATGCCTTGACACTCATGGACAGGTATTAGCTCCAGGGGTGTACCAAGTACTCCATCACATTCTGATCTGCACCCTGTCACTGGCTCCCAGAAAACCCACAACTTACAGTTAGAATAAATAACAAATTAACTCACACCTTCCCTATTCAAGGTGGGGAGATGGAAGTACCTACCTCTCCTCTCTCTCTCACACTTTTCCTCATAAATCTGAATTCCCCAAGTTTTAATGCTTGTTGACTTCTCAGACCCAATTCCTACCTGTTGAAGAGCTATAAAAATTATTTAGGATTTCTGATTCCTATTCTAAAGCTCTGCCCTCTACACCAGAGAGCTACTGTACTGTAACCCTTAGGGCCACTTGCTGGGGAATAGGAGGAAGACCAATGTATTTATTTATTTACAAGACCAATGCAGATTAAAGCTGCCCCTAGGAAATATATGTTAAAATGAGATTTTCTTAAAAATCTCTTGCTTTCCCCCCTATTATTATTAATCTAGACTGTTATAAGTTAAAAGTAAAGCAAAGAAAGTACAGAGCAGAAGGTACTGTGTAATGCTAAAGTTTACATATTGAACAAGTTACACAAAAATCATTTTGCTCTTAAAACCTTACAAACACTCATTTGAAGTCCCTAGTTCTGTCAAAAATGTTGACTTTAGTACAAGACTCTACAGAAAGCCTCTCAGAGAATTGTGACAGTTACCACAGTCCCGCTCATCCGAGTTGTCTCCACAGTCATTGTTAAAGTCACATAACCATCGAGAGGGAATGCATCTCTGATCATCACACCGAAACTCGCTTTCTGTGCACTCCCGAGGGACTACAAAGGAAAACCACATGGCCATCAGTGGGTACCAGGAATCATACACAGGGCAGGCTGGTGAGAAGGCCTAAGTGCTATACATGCCCAAGGCCCTCTACTGTCCCAAGTCACAGAGGTCTGCTTGGGCAGACTGTCCATCCTCCAAAAATAGATCTTCCACCTCAATTTTAAATCCGTAAGTGGTGATTTAACATTAAGATAAATTTTGATTTCATGAAACTCTAGATAACCTCACATAGGATTTAACATAAACTTTCTTATAAACAATAAGAAGTCATTGGATTGCCCTTTTGTATAAGAAGTTTTCAGCCAAATGATATTTGCAGGTGTAATCAGTCTACTGATTTTCTCAATTGCCTATGGCAAACAATGATCACTTCTTACTTCCAAAAGGTGACTAAAGTTAGAATGTATGTCATATCAGTCAATCTGAAGTTGACATATATCATGAGTCAATGATGAATGTTCAGGGAAGGGCCTCATTAAAACTGTCTTCAAAACCCATCTAATCATTCTATCTAGCTTGGTGTGATCCAGATCTTTGGTTTCCTTTCCTTCTTCTCCCTGTCCAAATTCTTGTAGTCAGCACCTTCACTGGGAGAGAGTATCCAAAACCTGACCTGTTATTTAACCATTAAACCTCCTAACTTAGTCACTATTCCAGGTAAGATGACATGCAAAATACAAGTTCTCTTTCCTCTGCTATTAAGGCCATTTTGGGGCAAGATCTTAAGAAGCAGGATCTTTAGATTGCCCCTTTCCTTCCTGTATTTCTCTTGGTCCCAATTTTTTAAAATTTCTATTCTATTTATCATATTATATTTGTCCTTTATTGTAAGTCACCTCAAGTAATTTTTGGGAAAAAAAGCTGGGTGTAAATAAATTCAACAAACAAAAGATATACTCATCCCTGGCTGGTATGGCTCAGTGGTTAGAGTGTTGGCCCTCATACTGAAGGGTCAAGGGTTCCATTCCCAGTAAAGGGCAGGTACCTGGGTTGCTAACTGGCTCCCCATCCCCAGTGGGGGCATGTGTGGGAGGCAACCGGTCAATGTGTCTCTCTCACTTCAATGTTTTTCTCTCTCTCGCTCTCTCTCTGCCCCCCCCCCTCCACTCTCTCTGAAAAACAATGGAGAAAATATCCTTGGGTGAGGGTTAACAATAAAGACATACTCAGATAAACATCCTCATCACAGAGTTTGATTATAAGCACCTCAAGAGATGCTTATAAAAGACAAATGACAAAGTGGAAATGTACCAGTTAGCAGGAGGTAAGAGATCAGTAGCTGTCATTCTACCCTTTGAGGATGAATACAATAGACAGTTGAATTATGGAAAAAAAACAGACATCACTGCTCTGGTGACACATAAGGATGACAGAACACTGACACTCACCACAGTTTTCCTCATCTGAGTGATCTCCACAGTCATCGTGCCCATCACATTTCCAGCGAAGAGGGATGCATTGGTGATTATTACAGCGGAAAACCCCCACAGGTTTGCAGGTCATCTCCTCTGCAAAGCATAGTCATTGCAAAGACTTCAGAAGCCAATGGGTAAGAAATGCCGAAGTAGTGACGGCTTCCTTGTGAGAGCCTGAGAATTGGCTACCATATTCTCAAAGCTCCCAGAGGGAGGAACGCCAGCAACACTCACTGTCAGTAGTCCTCTTTGGGCTAATTTGAACCTATCCTACCACTTGAAACTACATCCGTTATTTTTTATAGAAACTATTCAGACAATGAATTGGTATCTGTATTATAATTTGCAACAAAGGCCTAGAAAGGAAGAAGTGATGCCACCAGGACAGAACATTTCCCTACACATTGTCTTTAGTTGATTAGATTCAGTTTTATTGAAATAGTCCATTCTCTCTTCCTATCTTCTCTTCCAGCTAATCCTAACACACACTCATAGTCATCTTGGTTTAGGTATAGAGTATATGCGTAATCTTCACAATTTCCATTAATTCATTTGGTCTTTTGTCCATAAGTTATTTCTTGTTGCCAGGGGGACTATAGCTGACCAGTATATGATAAGGAAAGTCAGAGAGACATTCAGAATATAAAAATCTCCAAATAAGAAATACTGACTTTGAAATACCCCTTTTTGTGGCAGATACAGAATCTTTTCTCTAACCTGATCAATTTAATCAATCTATAAAAGCAGACAATTTAAACTTATCAAGGATTCTTCATTTAGGAAAATTTTAGAAGTTCCTAATATCTTCGTAATGTGTTCCCCCATTATATCCTCCTTCGGGATGAAATTTCATTTAAGATGCTATAAATTAAACTCCCCCATAATCCTGTAACATGCTACAAAAAAATGTGACGTATTAGAAGAATCAATAGATAGTCCTTTAACAGGGGTAAGCAAGAGAAAGATGACACGGGAAATTCACCCTCATCTCCTAATAGCAGCACTGGACACTTACATTTTCTTGTCCCTCCCCTCCCTTCCCTGCAGCCCCGCCTACCGCAGCCCTGCTCGTCGCTGTTGTCCCTGCAGTCATCGGCGCCATTGCACACGGCCCACTTTGGGATACAGCGGTAGTTTGTTTTACAGCTGAATTCCGTATGGTTGTCACAGCGATAGGCAGGGCCCACTGAAAAGAGGAAGAAGCGATGTCAGAGCCGAAGTCTCATGTCTGCTAGGAAAAGGCACCAAAAGATATCTCCCATTGTCACGTTTAGGAAGTAGCGCTGATGAGTTACATTACCACGTCACCAACTAAACTCACTCTGGCAACGTGTGTCTGTTTTAGGTGTGATCTGTTCGCCAAAAACAGAAAGGAAGTTTTCTCACACTGTTAGTACCACTCATTTGGGTTGTAGTATAACTACGAGGGGAGAAAAAGGACTGAGTTTGAAATTTAAAAACCAGGTTGAAGTGTCAGCTTTGCCACTAAATAAAAAGAGGACCATCCACTGAAGGTGAACCTCAGTTTCCTCATCTCTAAAACAGGAATTGGTAACACCCACCTTCCTGACCTCATATGTTCCCCAGAGGCTCAAATGAGAAAGCGCTAGCTACACAAAATTTAAGTTCTCATTATCATATTCTGGACAGATAGGCGTTCCGTGTATCAAGAGGAGAAATCACCCAGCTCAGAAGCAAGAGTCTGGCTCGACCCTCAGGCCACACTGTTGTCTCTTTGTCTTGCAGTGCAAAAGTGAGCAGAGAGGGCCAAGAGGGGGTGTTCCATAGGGGAGAAGCAGGGGGCCCCACATCTTCTCTCAGCCCACACAGAGCATCTCCTTGTTCTGTATTCCTGGTCAGGCCATGCCCCTCCCACAGAACTTACTGCATTCCTGGATGGGCTCATCCGAGTAGTCGCCACAGTCATTGTCTACATCACACTTCCAGGTCTGAGGGATGCAGTGGCCATTGGCACATTTAAAATAGCCGGGCTGGCAGATCCTGCTGGCACAGTGGGAACTGTCTTCATCTGAATTATCCCCGCAGTCATTTAACGAGTCACACTGCCAGGCTTCTGGGATGCAACGTTTGTTGGCACACTGCCATTCATTGGACTCACATTTGTGGTTCTCTACAAGAAAGGGCATTTTCTTATCAGCTTGGAAGGTGTCAGGAACAGAAGCTACTAATTCACACTGATAGATCCTGGAGAACTCAATCATCATTTCTTTTCAAAGGAATTATGTCCTAATGCACTTATTACCAACCAGTACCCCTACATGGGCAGTTACTCCTTTGACTACTACTGTCTCCGTAAATATCTTTTTCTTGCATGCAGAATTAGAAGATAAGAACCAAATCACTGATGGCCTACTAACTTCACCTTCTATAGTCCTAATCAACAATGTTTTCCAAACTTTGTGTTTAAAAAAAACCCCAAAACTTTTTTTTAGGTTGGAGGAATTTTGTGTTTTTTTAAGGTTGGTGGGGTTTTTTGGTTGTTTGTTTTGTTTTGTTTTGTTTTTTGGCTTTTTAAAATGGAGACATAAATAAACATTACAGCTGAGAGTCCTTGATTAATATGGGGGTGGGAAAGCCTCATTTCTCCCTCAGTGTTAGCAATGCACAGCATTTGGTAAGGAACCACTAATAGAGTCAGCTTACTATCTACCTCAACCATTTGTCTTGTAGAGACCTTAGGAATTCTAAAAAACTTTATAAAAATAGATAAAGGATGGAGTTTTCTCCTAGGACTTTGGACTGGTTTTTGGTTTATGACATTCAGAAAATCCTCACAGAATCATGATTGTACACAGTCAACTATAGAAATGGTCAACGAAGGCATAAAGCAATTCCACACACCGCAAAGAATGAGGTCTTCATCAGACCCATCAGGGCAATTCTGGTGAGTGTCACATAGGAAGTGTGGGCTGGTGCAGTTGCCATCCTTGCACTGGAACTGTCCTAGCCGGCAGTAGCGTGGCGGGCAAATGGGGGATTCATCGGACCCATCCAAGCAGTCTTTCTGTCCATCACATTTCCACCAGATAGGAATACACCTGCACGAAGAAAATATACCATTTCTCTTAGCAAAGCACCAGGGCAGGGAAGGTAGAGCAGTGGCAATGGTTATCTGGACAGAAGAAGGCAAAACTGGATTCCAAGTAATGACACACGTGAGTTCTCTTGTGGCATGAGAAGAGGATCAGTTAAACCTCGGTTACTGAGGTGTAGTTTCAGAGAAAGCATAACTAGATGAGATAGAACAAGTTTGTTAAGACTCAGATACATGCTGAAAAAATGCTTTGAGTGTGATGATTAAATTCCTGTTACAACAAACAATGGAGTGTGTGTTTGGAGCTGTGGTTCTGGTAGCAGGGATTGTCTGGGATTGTCTGCCAGGGTGATTGATATAAAAGACATTGGATATTGGTTGGGAAGCTAGAGGGCGATAACATTTGTTGAGAGTCTGTGTCATGATGGGCCTTAATCTAAGATATCTTATTTAATATTAAAATAATCTGCCATTGAATCTTAGATGCAATGATTTGCATTAACACCTGTCCTCACCCCACTTGGACTCAGTTCCCTGAAAAATAACCTGCGGCCATGTTTCACAGCAAACACAAGTGATCAAAAGTGGATCTGAATGTGTAACCCCGGACCATCTGGCATGGTTAACTAAGAAGCCTGGGCAGTATACATGTGAAAACAAGAGAAATTCCATCACCCTTGAGGGCTATTTTTCAGTGTATACATATATACATGGTGGGGCAAAAGTAGGTCTATAGTTGTTTGTATGGAAAATACATTAAGAAATAAAAAATACAACAACAAACTGTTCTGTGTACTCACAACTATAAACCTATTTGCCCACCCTTGTAGTATACTCTGACTCTGACACTTAGGACAGTTTATTAGGAATTTAAAAACACATAGTTTGCTCCCTCTCTATAGATGTAAAAACTTGTATACATAGGCATAACCATTTGGTTAATAAATTTCTCCCATTCGTGGAAGAAATTATCTGAAATTGGTGACTGTGAGTTTTGGTGCATTCTAAATGCGCCACATTAATTAGCCAAAATCTTGATTCATTTGAAAACTCCCATCCCCTGGAAACTTTAAGTTCAATGTGTATCCAAGGGACGGAGAGACAGTGAAGGGAGGGGAAGAGACAGCCTTACTTTTCATTGTTAGCGCACAGAAATTGGGTGCTAGAGCACATGGGCAAGCAGTGGGTGCTGTCAGCCAGATGGATGGTCTTGAAGTCATCTGGACACTCGCAGGTGAATCCTTTCCCTCCTGCTTCTATGAGGCAGAGATGAGAACAACCACCATTGTTGATACCACAGGGATTATTCACTAGTGAAAGAAGAAAGGAAATCTGTATGTTCATTCACTGGCAGAGAATATCAAGTACAAATGAGCTGATTGCCCACCTCATCAAACTCATCACCTCTTAGTGAGAAAAATCATTATCCTAGTTTCATGCTTTTTCAAGAAGTTCATAAAAAGGACAGATGAGAGAGCTGTATAAGCAACCCTGTGCTTTGAGAAAACTGATTTTTGTGCTACCAAAAGTGAGACATACCCACTGGTGTTTTGGGCTAGAAAATATGTATTTCTCAAAGTCCATGGAGACTAGGTGGGAAACTTAGCTTACATTCATGTGTCTAGAACCTAAGTTAAAGTTTTTAATTTTCAGCAAATGCTATATTCTCTCATTCTAAGGATACAGGCAACAGCAGTATGGCCAAGATGAGGTAGATGGATAAACTGAGCAGCTTCTTTACTAATTTTCTGGAATGCCACTTGGAAATGAAGAATAATTTGAACTTCTGCTAAAATAATATGAAGAATCTTAACTTCCAGAAAAAAATACTGAGTATCTTTATTTTGCCAGTTCTCATTTGTTCTTATTTCCAAGCTTATCATATGTTTTAGCAAGACATAACAACAAAGCAGGCCCATAAAATCCATTGTACCCCCAAAATATACTCCAGACATTTGCTAGGCTATTTCTGAATCATAAAATGACTTTAATTGCATGAAGAGGAAGATAAGTTTTATAATTATAATTTTCTTTTAAACACTTCTTTCAGATCAATCATTTCAACAGGTTGATCTTGGTATTAAGGAATGATTGTTAGAACTACATCTATATAATTATAATACATCTCTTAGGTATTAGAGTTTATTGTGGTTATATAGGAAATGTCTTTATTTTTCAAAAGTGCTTCCTTAAGTATTTAAGGCTGAAATGGCATGATATTTTTAATTCACTTTAAAATAGTTCAGTACTCCAACCAAAATAGACAAAGTAAATACGGCCATATAACAACTGTTAATTCTCACCAAAAACAAAAACCCAGATTGATTTTTAGGAATAGAGCCAATGTTAAGAAAAAGAGTTATAAGCAGCCTTTCCTTGAGGGGAATAAACTAAAGATATTTCCATACCTTCAACTTTCAGCATATATTTTGTAGAAAACATTAACAAGTAACACCATTCCCTCTATAAATCATGAGGTTTATGATTAAAGAAACAAAAATGTCATGCACAAGAACCTAAAGCGACTGTGTCAAACTTCTGGATCATCTACTCACCAATTGGCTGCCTATATGGATGATACACATGGATGTCATACGGTTTATGTGTTGTGTTCACCAGCATCATTCTATCTGATCCATCATATTTGTTTCCCTTTTCAACCGTCCTTGTATTCCAATCTGTCCAATAAATAGTGTCTTCAAAAATAGTAATAGCAAAAGGGTGAGACAGTATCCCATCATACACTGTGTGTCGATGGTGGCCCTCCAAATCAGAGTACCTGGGGTAGGGAAAAGCAAGAGTCACCCAGTGAAGATAACTCCTCTTTTCTAATGCCTTTAAGAATAGAGGAATTGACTAGTTAATAAAATTCTACCCTCTAGAAGTAGCTGAAGTTCAAATCCTCCTTAAAATTCCCCATCTTTAATTAAAACAAAAAATAAACTTAAAGAATTTTGACTGAACAAAAGATGTAAAAGTTGAAAAAGTGATGCCTTAAAAATAGGAATATCCAGGAGTTTAAATAATCACAATCTAACTACAGCTGCTTTCCTGCAGATGCAGCTGGTTCAGCTGTTGTAGGTTTATAACCTCGTACATTCATGTTCTCCATTAAGCATCCTTTTGATATCCTGGGATGAACACCATTCTTGTTTCCTAAGTCATCGGAAGAAATCAGAGGATAACAATACAAAGTTGGAATTCTGCCTTCTCATGAACATCTCCAGGGGAGAAGCTGTTCTAGGAGACAGCTGGATTCTCAGTATAACCTGAGAGGCCTATACTAGCTGAATTAAATTATAGGCCTGAAGTGTTGACTTTCCGTACACTGGCAGCACATTTATTATTAATCATGCCTTGGGCACTATTAATGAATACTTTTCCAGATGATTAAACCTCTAGAGGAGTTTCTCTGATTTCAAGATGCCATGGAACATCCATAGCCAAATATCTAAGTCCTCCTAGTTCCATCTCATTCATTTTGATGAGTCTGTCAGAATATTGACATTTTAAGTATTTTTAAATTTTGGAGCACACCCTGAAACTCAAACAGGAAGTGAAATGAGCTAGCAACTAAAAACTTGATATTGTTAGCCATGTGATGTTAGAAATATTTTCCAAAGCATCATAATTGATGATAACTTGTAGAAAACTTGAAGACTTTCTTGGCCTCTGTTGATAAGATTGCAGATAAATGACCAGAACTTAGCCACTATCTGTTTCTTTTTTTTTTTTAAATCATCAACCAGAAAGTAGCCGGGACCATCCCTTTCAGTTCTTGCATGCTCTCTATGTGAAGATCTCAGACACCTTTATGAGTATTTTTTGTCAAGTGTAGAACCACAGGCACAGTTAGAAGGATGTGATGGCACATCCCAACATGCAAAAGAAATGGATTGAATAGTCTATAAAAATGTATTTACTTCCATAGTCCATGAAATGTACTTCTGAACAAAGGTATTGCTACCCCTCCAAGAGCTGATCAAGTCAACATGGCTACATGAATATTAAAAGTTGATTCATTCCCAGATCACAGTGCCTGATATGATTTGACTTTTAGACAGTAACCTATTGCCTAAATTTTAGAATCCAGCTACATAAATTTTATCAAAAAGCAAACAGAATATTAAGTAGCTAGAAAATTCCTTTGTGCCTCTAATGCTCCTTAAAATATTATCTTATGTTTACCACTGTCAATTTCAGTTAAGCTTTCAAGACCAAGAATAAGTTACAAGTCCTGAAGAACAATACACATTCAACAAGAAAGTTGTTGAAGCTTCTTTGAATACCTTGATGCTTCTACTAATTCAAAATGGATTTTATGGAAAGCTAAACTCTGTGATGTTTCTTCAAAAAGGGAATATACACATTGTGGGAAGGGCTAAGGGTGTCACCATCTGCATATTACATTGAAATGATATAAATAAACTAGGAGTAATATTCTACTCATTATGACCGAAGTTGAATTCTACCTAAGAGTGAGTATCTGCTATGGTAAATTCTGCAAAGAGAATGCTAAAGATTGTCTTAGCATAAAGACAAGAAAATTTCCAAAGCATCACATGTCAAAACCCTTATAACCTTCCATTTTTCAAGTCTCTTTTCCTACTGACCCTAAACATATTTTAAGACTAAGGTCATTAAGGTAATTCCAAAGGACTGAGCTCAAAACAGGTGTTAGGGAGTAGCAGAGACTGGTGTGATAGCCTGTCAAAACAACCCAGTGTCCTCTGCTTTCCAGGCCAGGGATGGCAAACAGTCTTCATCGCATGTGTCAACTGGGGAGAATTATAGGGAAATGTCCCAATTCAACAAATGAGAGTTCTGCGATTGATTAACTATGTCTGCAATGAGCATAGGATAGAGCACTAGAATGTGTGCCAGGTATTCCTTCCTTCTGAGTAGCATGTTCCCAAGAGAGCATGGAATTAGAGAACTTCAAATATTTCTACACTGACTTTGGCAGCAAAATAAATTGAACAGAATGACAAAATTTTTAAAGGCCTTTAAAATAACTCTATTGAATTAATGACAATTCCATGCTTTTGAATGTAACAGGCTGTGTATCTGGGTACCTGTTCATAAATGCTTACCCAGAAGACATTACTACAGTCCAATTAGAACATAATTAGCAATGCCCCAAAATAAACATGTACTGTTTGGTTAAGAAAGTATATTACCTATTTTACAATGAGTATTTTTCATTGAACAGTATAATATTTAACACACTTTTTTCAAAATTACCCTTTTATTAGAATGATTTGAATGCATTATCATATTGAATAAATGTTAACAAACTCTACCACTACATAAAACACATCATTGTACTTATCAATAAATGCACCAAAGTTATTTTAGGGAAAATCTTTTCAACGCTTTTGCTCTTTTTCTTTTTTTACATGCTAAAATTTATTAATCATGTATTTGGGAGGGAAGGGCAAAATAAAAGGATAAGGAAATTAAGATAGGTTGAACACTAAGGTGACTACCATAGGGGAGAGATTACTAGCTCCATTTCTTCTGATGAAAAAAGAGGAAGGAAGGAAGGAAGGAAGGAAGGAAGGAAGGAAG